TCTCAGTAATGGATAGAACCTCCAGACAGAAGATTAGTAAGGAAACATATGATTTGAATAACACTATAGATCAAATAAACCTAACAGACATATATAGAATATTTAACCCAACAGCAACAGAATATGCATTCTTCTCAAGCACATTGGATCTTTCTCTGGGATAGATCATTTAGGTCACAAAACAAGTCTTAACAAATTTAAGAAGACTGAAATTACATTAAGTATCTTTTGGATAACAATGAAATGAAGCTAGAAATCAAAGCAGAAAGCAAACTGGGCAATTCATGAATACGTGGGAGGAAAAAAACCACATTTTGGAACAACCATTGGGTCAACAAGAAATAAAGAAGGAAATTAGAAAATACCTCATGACAAATGAAAATGAAAATACAACATATCAAAACTTATGAGATTCAGTGAAAGCAGTACTAAGAGGGATGTTCATGCCTACATTAAAAAGAAGAAAGATCGCAAATCAACAACTTAGCTTTAAACCTCAAGGAACTAAAAAGAAGAGGAAGAACAGGACTTCCCTGGTGACTCAATGGTAAAAAGTCCACCTGGCAATGTAGGAGATACAGCTTCAGTCCCTGGTCCAGGAAGATCCCACATGTCACAGGGTAACTAATCCTGTAAAGTCACAGCTACTGAGCCTGTGCTCCAGAGCCACAACAAGAGAAGCCACTGAGAATCACAAGGAGAGAGGAGCCCCAGCCCCCCGCAACTGCAGAAAAGCCCATGCAGCAATGAAGACCCAGCACAGCCAAAAAGAAATAACTAAATAAATATATAAAAAAAGAACAAACCAAGCCAAAGTTTGCAGAAGGAAATAACAAAGACTAGAAAAGGAATAAACAAAACCAAAAACAACAAAACAAAGAGGTGGTTTTTTGAAAAGATTAAAATATTTATAAAACTTTAGCTAGATTAACTAAGAAAAAAGAGAAGACTCAAATAAATAACATTAGAAATGAAAGAAGAGACATCACAAATGATACAACAGAAATATAACTGTGAACAGTTATATGTCAACACACTGGATAACCTAAAAGAATGGACAAATTCCTAGAAACATAAAATTTTACCAATACCAAATCATGAAGAAACAGACAGTCTGATCAGACATATTGCTAGTACAGAAACTTAATTGAAGGCCCAGGGCCAGATGACTTTACTGGTGAATTCTATTGAACACTTAAAAAAATAATTAAAACTACTCTTTCTCAAAAATTTCCAAAAAACTGAAGAGGAAAGAACACTTTGAAACTCATTTTATAAGGCCAGGATTACCCTGATATCAGAGCCAGACAGACACACCACAAGAAAAGAAAACAACATGTCAATATCCCTGATGAATGTAAACACAAAAATCCTCAACAAAATACTAGCAAACCAAATCCAACAGCGCACTGAAAGGAATGATGGCTCAAGACACAGAAATCAATTAATGTGACATCACATTAACAAAACAAAGAATAAAAATCACTTGATTGTCTCAATAGGTGCAGAAGAAGTGTTTGACAAAATTCAACATTCTTTCATGATAAAAACTCTCAACACACTAGGAACAGAAGGAAAGTACCTCAGTGTAATAAAGTTTTCTTCTGAGAAATCCTCTGGAGGTAGTAATGGCATATCTCTTAGCTAACTGGTTTTTTTTTCTTCCCTTCTTCTATTGTTAGTTTATTTTATATTTGAAGAGGACAATATCTTGCCCTAAGTTAGTAGATTAGCAGTAGATCAAGCTGAGATTAAAAAAATACTTACTTTTATGTATTCATCTATTTAGTCAAAAACAGCTATTAGATGTCTTCTACGATCTAAGGGCTCTATTAGGCAGATACATTTATCACTCATCAGAAATATTTCTTTTATTTTCCTATTTTGCTTTTATAGCTAAAAATTTTAAAGCTGAGACATACTTTTGAGTGTGTCTACAGTGGTGTGAAAGCAACAAAAAAGAAGTTGTATGTGAAATTGTGTATTAAAGGTAATAACAGAGGGAGCTCCGCACATGGCAATTAGTTTACAATGTGCTCCCACAAATGCACTCAGACACCATGATTAATGCTCCCTGGAGCCTTCAGTCTCTATAACTAGCTCTCATTGTACTTACCAGAACCCTACTTGCCCAGGAAATTATGATAAATACTGTGCTGGTTCTAATATTGCTCTAAGTGATCAGGTCTGGGTGTGAGAGGCAGTGGTGAGATGAAATGGAGATAAAATGCAAAGTTTATGTTCTGGCTGCTTAGCAAGAATTCAGTAAGGAGCCAAGCCAACAATCCTTAAGGGAGGTTTTAGGGCAACACAGAGACACCCCACCCCACAACACACACCCAGGTCCAGTCTATACCAGTTACAAGTGCTGTTTCCAATTGGTTTTCCTTTGGGAGTGTCTAGAAGCTAAATGGGCTTCCCCAGTGGCTCAGTGATAAAGAATCTGCCTGTCCAGGTAGGGGATTCAGGAGACGCATGTTCAATCCCCTGGCTGGGAAGATCCCCTGGAGAAGGAAATGGCAACCCGCTCCAGTATTCTTGCCTTGGAAATCCCATGGACAGAAGAGCCTGGAAGGTTGCTGTCCATGGGGTCACAAAGAGTCAGATATGACTGAACGACTGAGTACCCACATGCAGAAGCTAAACCTTGGTGAAAGAAAAAAAAAAAGAAAACTAGTCTCCACGTCAGAGGAGTGGGGCAACCTAAACCTCATTCCTAGTCCAACAGAGAAGCTCTCAGAGAATGACATCATCAACAAACAGTCCCACTGGTTGATTACATGCCCAATGCTATTGCTCCATCCCACCCTCATTAAGGGAGAGGTGACTGATCAGAATGTACAACCCAAGTCAGTAAACATTCACTGTTGTGGATAAAATGTTTGCGCCCCCCCAAAATTCATATGTTAAAACTCTAACCTCCAATGTGATAGTATTTGGAGATGGGGCCTTTGGGATGTAATTAGGGTTAGATGAGTTCATGAGGGTGGGGCTCTCACGATAGGGTTAAGAGACCCCATAGAGCAACATTCCCCCGCTCCCATACAACACACCAAGGAAAGGCCAAGTGAGGACACAGTGAGAAAGTGACTGGGTGGCTGTCTGCAAGCCAGGAAGAGAGCCCTGGCCAGAAACAGAAGGGATTATCACCTTGATCTTGGACTTGCCAGCCCCCAGACCTGTGAGAAAATTATTTTCTGTTGTTTAAGGCACCCAGTCTGTGACATTTTGTTATGGAAGTTCCAGCAGATTTACACATTCACATTCACCAGGCTGTGCTCCCCTTGATGCCGGGTGCCCTATGAGTTCAATTTCTGAATCCCTAGCCCATAGCAAAAGACTGGTCCCTACCCTCAGCTCCAAGCCCCAAGAGAGGTGGGGCAGAACAAAGTCTTCACGATATCCTGGGACCACAGTGTCCCCAGAGGTGAGTGAAGTTGCTGAGATCTGAGTCCACGACAAAGTCCTGCCTTCCCCAGAGTCTCTGACCTACCCAGGAGGAGCCCAGCACCCTCTGATGTGGGGAGCTGGGGTCTGGCCCAAGAGCCGTGAGGCAGGAGGCATGCACAGCCAGGCTGAGCTATACTTGCTTCACTGGGCCTGCACACGTTTTCTCAAGAGTGTTCTTTTTCTTCTCTCATCAAAGTGGCCTTTCTTGAAAGCAGTGCTAATACAATCAATCATTTTCAGGCAATTCTCAGAGATGTCTTAAGTAAAAGCCAACTCAATATGGCGATGCCCTCGCTGGAGGCCGGGCACCTGGATTCCCCGGCGCTCCAGTGCCTCCTACCCTACCCTACCCTCCAGGGGTGGGGTGGGGTGTACACACTCCTCCCTCTGGAGAGGAAGGAGGCCTCAGGAGGGGCCACACCTGTGCAGGAGAGGCGATGGTGAAGGGGTCTGTCTTTGTTTTACAGGAACACAGTGTGCTGCAAGCTTGCTTTTCAGTTACTTGCTTCTAAATTCATCAACTTTTCTCTATATTTCTCAATATACAAAATGATAGGTGGAAGAAAACTGAATGAAAGATATATTTTACTGAAATCATCAAGAAGCAAGAAAAGCAAAGGCGGGGACAGAAAAGGCAAAATAAAACTGGATCCTCCTTTTGAAATCAGTAAGAGATTTCTGACGTGATTATTCAATAAGTGTTTCACAGAGAGCCTACTATGGACCAGTCTGTGTGTAGGTGCCAGAGAGCACAGGGCAAAGACTGAAGTGTGGGTGCCACCCGTGGGTGACTCAGGACTTTGTACCAGTGATGTCTGTAAGGGCCGCCACAGCCACAGACCGGGGATGCTTCCAGGGGCACACTTGGTTTCTGGGTGAGAAGCAGATTCAGGGGACTTCATGAAGATAACATTTGGGCTGTAAAGAATGGTAGGATTTCTGCAGAACCCACCGTCTCTGTGAGACAGTGAGAACTTTTGGGAATCATGTCTCATTGATGTGTGTCCCCATATCCAGCAAGATCAGGCGCATATTAGAAACATGATGGGAAGGATGGCTGGGGAGTGGAACAGCATCCAGAGCATCCAGACCTGCCTGGGTAGAGTTGAGGGGTCTCTGTTTAGGTTGGCCCTAAAGGCCCAGTGCAAAGGGAGGGTAGAATGGCAGTGGGGAGGGGAGGCTTGGGTGCCACTGAAAGGTGTGAATATTATTGGAGAAGGACTCGGCAACCACTCAAAAGCAGAGTAACAAGGTCAGAGTTGGGTTTCAGGAAAATTTACACATCCACATTTAAAACATAGAATAATTCATAATCTCATCAACAGAAACCATTTCACCTCTCTGGGTCTCCCTTTCCTCCACAGACACAGGAAGGCCGCTCCTTTCTGGGCACCACTGCGACAAGTGGCACAGTCATGACGGGCTCCACGGGAGCCAGGACACCTACTGATAGAACACAAGTGTACACAACCGTCCACAGAGAGAGAAGGAAGGATCTGGTGCTCAGGGAAGAGGCACTCTGCCTGGCCCTGGAGATGCCTCTTTCTTACCAATAGTTCAGTTTCAGTGGGACAGCTTCCAGGCCACCAATCTGACAGTACGGCTCCAAGTTAGAGAGTTCATACTGGATTTCACAGTTTCTGTTCAGAGATCAAGCACACTTGGTGTAAACTTAAATTTCCCACTTGATTTTTACATAGAGCATTGTTTATAATGCATGGATTCCATGAAACAGAAACAGCAGACCAGTGAAACACCTGCCTTCCTGAGCATGGCCCCTGGAGCTGGAGAGGAAGCCTCCAGCTCCACCCTTTGGGGACATCGTTTCCATCTGGTTCTGAACTGGTCCTGGCACCCGTATTCCCTATCTGGAGGCTGGCACAGTTGCCAACAACATGGGCTCTGGATGCCCATAGTTCGGACCTCATTTCCCAGCTCATCACACAGTTTCCTCATCTGTAAAATGGGGCTCATACCTGTCTTACAGGAGAATTACTGGGATTAAATGAGAGGATATGTGAGAAAGTAGTTAGCTTGATACCTGGGACTTCTTAAGTGCTCAAAAATGTGAGCACATCATTTTTGCTGCTAGTAATAAAGATGATTAGAGTCACACAGTGGAGGGTCAAGGACTCATTTCCCCCCTCAGTCTTCCTTAACTTGTGTCCTTGACCCCTTCCTCCTGTTAGCCTGTCCACCCAGGAGCTGACTGAAAGAACAAGTTTGAGGGTATGAGAAAAACAGCCTGCTGCTTCAGCCTGTTCACATGGAACACATGTGTATGTGTGTGCAGGTGTGTGTGGGGGTCACTCCCTAAATTCCAACGCCTCTCCGTCAGTGATTAATGTAGTTTTCCACTTCCTTTCCACCTGCCATGCAGCTCAAGAGTGGTTCGCTGCCTCCAGAGTCATCTGTCTTGCCTTATTTTCCCATTTGCCAGCTCAGAGAGTCTCTAGGAAGTTACTGCTTTAATCTCTGAATTTCTATGTGTGTAAAAGACATGGTAATTAAAGCTATTGAGCACGCTTTTTAAAATCAAACGGGGCTGAATTCAGAAATCCAAATTTGTTGTTTTTTAATGGCTGATATTAATTATATGAGTAATATTAATATGCTAATATGTTTTAATAATTAAACTTATTATTAAATTTAATTGTCTTTGAGAGCCTGGATGATGTGGGTTTATATTAACTGTTAGCTAACGACACTGAAGCCTAGGGAACCAGGGGCTGCTAAAGGAGGCAAGTTTGGGTTTGGGAGGAGTCGGAGGTGGAGGGAGGAGTCTGAAGAGGGTCAGGCTTGGCGATGGGAACCACATTCAACAGCAGTCCCTTCATCTAGCCACGCCCCCGGCCCCATGCTAAACAGCCTAATTCCTCAGCCTGGACACACCCACCACTCCCATCACAGTTCACCCTCCGCCACCCCCCCCCCCCCCGCCCCCCGTTGCTTTTGCCTTAATTTGGAGTTTTCCAAAATTCCTTCCCACCAAGCTGCACACGCCCTTGCCTTGGCGCATTACTGAGGTTGCTCAAGCGGTGCCCAGGATGCTGCACATTCGTTTTCATTATTTTGAAAGTGTTAGCCGCTCAGCCGTATCGGACTCTTTGCCATCCCACGGACTCCAGCCCTCCAGGCTCCTCTGTCCATAGAATTCTCCAGGCAAGAATACTGGAGTGGGTAGCAATTCCCTTCTCCAGGGGACCTTCCTGACCCAGGGATGGAACCGAGGTCTCCTGCATTGCCGGTGGATTCTTTACTGGCTGAGCCAACAGGGAACGCTTCTTTCATTATGTTCAGTTCAGTTTAGTTGCTCAGTCGTTTCCGACTCTTTGCAGCCCCATAGACTGACCGCAGCTTCCCTTCAGGCTTTCCTTTCCCGCCAGGTTCGCTGTAGCTTCCCTTCCCTGCCGCATCCCTTCCCTGCCTGGCTTCCTTGTCCATCACCAACTCCTGGAGCTTGCTCAAACTCTTATCCATCAAGTCGGTGATGCCATCCAACCGTCTCATCCTCTGTCGTCCCCTTCCCCTCCTGCCTTCAATCTTTATGTTGCCCTTGATTAAAATCTTCAGTATCTTCCTTCATAGCTTGAGGCCATTCTTCCAAGGCCCATTCTTTGGAGGCTCTCCACCAGTGAGTATAGTTGGTTTTCACTGTGGATTTTATTTTTTGAATCAGTCCAAAGTCTTTTGGACTAAATTTTGGTGGCTAATAAAATAGCAGTATTATTTTTAATCTAAAATAAAGGGTGCTAAAATGTAATGACATTTTTTTTCTCACTCTGGAAGTATTCCAAAAGAGGACTATCAATTTGAGACAATGACAATATCACTGCTATTGGCCAGACAAACTGATAGCTTTCTTTGCACAGCAGGTTTGATGATGTATGAGTTCTAGTATATTTTTTAAAGGGCCTCATTCTTTATCCTATTATCATAAACATGAATATGTCTGTGTAAACCCACACATGGAAATGAATTCCATAGACCAATGATGATTCCTGTTCCAGTTGAACAGCCGAAGACACACACCCAGTCGCTAGGATCAGTTTATTGTACTGGGGCATGATGGTAACATCCATCACCCACCTGGACTTCCGAATAATGGGCTTGTCCTAAAGGGTAGAAGGATGGAAATGTACAAAAATACACCTTTTTAATGATAAGACAATTTCACTTGTCTCAAGCCACTCTGGTCCATAATACACATACTTAACATTATAGAGTTTCCTTCAGTTTACTTTCACCCTCAAGTATAGGTGTGTCTTGGAGATATTGTGGACCACTGTGATGAAGTGAGTCATGTGAATTTTCTGGTTTCCCAGTGCATACAAAGTTATGTTTACATTATGCTAATAGTCTATTAAGTGTGCAATGCTTTTTTTAAAAAATCAATGTACATATCTTCATTAAAAAATACTTTCTTGGGAGGGGAAAATTTATGGCTGATTCATTTTGATGTTTGGTAGAAACCAATGCAGTACTGTAAAGTAATTATACTTCAATTAAAAATAAATAAATAAATACTTAAAAATGCTATCCACCATCTGAGCCTTCAGTGAGTAGTAGTCTTTTTGCAATAGTAACAACAAAGATCCCTGATCATTGATCACCACAACAGATATAATCATAATGAAAAAATCTGAAATATTGCAGGAATTACCAAAATGTGGCACAGAGACACAAAGTGAGCAGATACTGCTGGGGAAATGGCCCTGACAGACTTGCTCAATACAGGGTTGCCACAAACCTTCAATTTATAAAAAATACAGTATCTGTGGAATGTAGTAAAACAAGGTTTGCCTGTATAGAGAACTTGCTACATAGACTTGAGGGATTGACTTTATTCTCTTCTTCCCTTGTGGCTCAGACAGTAAAGCGTCTGCCTAGAATGTGGGAGACCCAGGTTCGAGCCCTGGGTTGGGAAGATCCTCTGGAGAAGGAAATGGCAACTCACTCCAGTACTCTTACCTGGAAAATCCCATGGACAGAGGAGCCTGGCAGGCTACACCCATGGGGTCGCAAAGAGTCGGACATGACTGAGCGACTTCACTTCTAGGGAGGGCTTATTTGGCAGCCTGAGGGGTACAGTTTAGCTGTGTAACTAATAGGGTGGATGATAAGTTTCCTGAGGACAGAAATGGGCATCTATCCCTAGCATCCAGCATAGAACCTGAGAAGCGACAAGGGCTCAACTATTTGCTGAAAGATGTAATTAAAGAAAGACTTCAAAGTTAGACTCTATTCTGTAAAGGCTCAGGTACTGTTATTCCTAAGTGTACTTCCCAAATGCTTCTTGCCTTCTGAATTTCTGATTCTTTGATTCAGTAAGTTCTCTCAGAACTACCTAAACTGAAAGAACCATTAACAGGGAGGAAAAAGGAAAATTCTTTTCCATTTGTCATTCATTAAGACATGATAAATTACATGATGGAATCATGTGTAATTCATCACTCCATCTGATTTTAGCAGCGGAATGAGGAATTATCTTGTCCTACATATAGAGATCATATTTGCATCCCATAGACTGGCAAAATCCAACATGAATATATTATATTCAAGGACACAATTTCTGTAATCATGCCACTCAAGGAGCAGTTTAAAATAGCAAATAAAATCAAACTGGAGCACTCAGCATCCTTATCAAATGAGAACCACATACAAAAACCCACTTTCTTCTTTTCAACTTCAGCTGCAGGGACCAGAAATAAATGGCTCCATCTTCTCTGATCATGATTAAGGTGTCATCAGGCGCAGCAAGAATGCGCAGCACGGGAGCCCTGTACGACAGCCCCTGTAGCAGAGCGGGCCGCTGGAAGGAGGCCTCCTGCTGTCGAGCCCGAGCACCAGCCTGCTCCGAATATACTAGCTGCAAATACGTGCAGAAGCCATCCTGGGGAAAAGGGAAAGTTCATTAAATGTCTGCTGCCTTTTTGGCTTTCAAAAATTCTCCTTATCATCAGGGCATGGACATGAGGTAAGTATTAGTATGAACTAGGTCATTGGTATGAACTTGGCTGCCAAAAACTTGGGGCTAATAGCTGGGGTGCACTAGCTGGGCTGGGGCTGGAAGTGTGCTACCGAGTGTCTGGGCTCACTTCCCTGCCCAGTCTCTCTCTAAAGATGATAATGAAAAAAAAAAAAAAAAAAGATGATAATGATGGTGGTGGTGATTGAGAACATACCCTGTTTAACTCAATGTGGACCTTCACCTCCATTCTTACCATAACTGGATAAGTACTATCACTCTCCTTATTTTACAAAATGGGAACTCACACCTAGAAAGACTAAATTATCTGCCTAAGATCAATCAGGGTCTTCCCTGGTGGCTCAGATGGTAAAGAATCTGCCTGCATGCAGGCAGGCCTGGATTCGATCCCCGGGTCAGAAAGATCCCCTGGAGAAGGAAATGGCAACCCACTCCAGTGTTCTTGCCTGGAGAATCCCATGGACGGAGGAGCCTGGTAGACCACAGTCCATGGGGTCGCAAAGAGTTGGACACGACTAAGTGACTAACACTCCAGGATTCCTGGACTTCCCTGGTGGCTCAGCTGGTAAAGAGTCAGCCTGCAATGTGGGAGACCTGGGTTCCATCCCTGGGTTGGGAAGATCCCCAGGAGAAGGGAAAGGCTACCCGCTCCAGTATTCTGGCCAGGAGAATTCCATGGACTGTATAGTCCATGGGGTTGCAAAGAGTTGGACACCGCTGACACCACTGACTTTCACTTTCACTTTCTTAAGTGACTAACACATACATACAGATCAAGCAACTAGTAACTGTCTTGCCTGAGACTTGAGCCCATGTCGGTCTGACTGCACAGTTCTGACCCACCAGGACATAGGCTTCATTTCAAATCTCAGCAGTGCACGTAGGGAAGAGCAGACCGGTGGTCACAGGGAAGGAGTGGGAGTGCCCAAAAAGCCTGGGAACATCTCCATTTTCTCTCCACTTCCCCCAAAGCCCTAGTTCACTACTTTCCTTCTCTTCCCTGGAATCCTAACTATTCCCTTTCAAATCAGACTACAGTGAAAACACTTGTATTTGCTTTGATTAGGGGATTGGTCCAAGGTCTGAACAGAGGTGAACGTGACTCAACTTGTCACTTTAGAACTTAATTCATCCTACAGCAATAGGAGGCTACGGATGCACAGTGGCAGAGAATGTCATTGGCAGATGTCTCAGCTCCTCATTATTATACAATCCAAATTGGGAAACATTAATGATGATGATGATGATAGTATTTGTTGAAAAATTACTCTGTGGCTATCCTTGTTCTAAATACTTTCCGTGTGTGTCAGGGATCTGATTATCATTAGGTGTTGCTTGTTCATAGGATTTCTTGCTCACTGGTGTTTCACTTTTGCTTTTGGGTAAGGTAGCAAATCCCCATGGACTGAGGAGCCAGGCAGGCTACAGTCTATAGGGTCACAAAGCATCAAACAGGACCAAAGTGACTTAGCATGCATGAAAGGTAGCAAATACCCAGGTGGCACTAGTGGTAAAGAACCTGCAGGAGACATAAGAGACACAAGTTTGATTCCTGGGTTGGGAACATCTCCTAGAGGAAGACAGGGCAACCCACTCTGGTTTTTTTTGCCTGGAGAATGGCAGACTACAGTCCATGGGGTTGCAAAGAGTCAGACACTACTGAAGCGACTTAGCATGCATGCACGCAATGTAGCAACTATGCCCTTCATTCCCTGGTTTTAGGAAAGCCTTCTCAGGACTTGCCTGAGCTACTGAAATTCCTAGTTAACCTGATATACAAGAGCTTGAAAATTGTGAATGTGCATGTCCCCTTGGTTCATCTTCAAGTTGGCAAATGTACTAAGGGGCATAGGGTACTCCAGAAAGGCTCAGAAACAAACATCTTATACACTTTCCTCAGTAACTTCAAGTCTGATTCACAAAACACAACCCAACTTACCCACTGAATTCTGCCCACTGCTTCATAGTCTATTTTCATGAAAAGTTGTTCTATTTGTTTAATACTCTAGAGAGAAAAAAAAAAAAGTTTTTAAACTATTTACTAGATTGGTGAGTGGGGGGGGATACAGAAGAAGGAGAAAATCTTCACTTTTCCAATTTATGAAATTTCATGTTCAAAAATACCTAATACTCAAAGATCTCTGGAATGTTTGCTCTGAAACATTAATAGGACTCTTAATCTGAATTCAGTGTACTGACACCAAAACTCTTCTGCAGTGAAAGACTGGGCTTCTAGAACTTCTATCTTTGAAATCAAGCCTTATTTAGCAGGAGGAGCTGCGGGTCTCCCAGTGCTCACGCTCCCAGGAGGTCCCACTCCACCCTGGTCAGGTCCAGCCAGAGAACTGAACTCTGTTTAGGGGCTCCATTTTGACATAAGCAGCAAAGCAAGTTCTGAGGACAATGGCTGGGACAGTAAGGATACTCACTTGACTACAGCCAAGATGAAAAGATATGAAAATTACTTTCAGCTATTAGAAGGATGATTCTGTGGGAGAGTAAATTTCTTCTGTGTGGCAGTCCTGGCAGATGGACCCCATGATCCCTGCCTTTTGGTATTCATGGCCGATGAATACCAACCCCCACTCCTTGAGTAACTGCTGGTAGCTAGTTGAATACGTCAACCCCAAGGGGATGTCACCTCTATGATTTCATGAGATCATAACTTCTGTCTTACTGGTAGGCTCTCTCTCCCATGCTGGCTTTGAGGAAGGCAGTGGCCATGCTGTGAGCTGCCCTGTAGAGATTCCCATATGGAAACAGACAAACAGCCAGCAAGGAACTGGCTTAGTCCAACAACCTGCAGGAAACTGAATCCTGGCAACACTCATGTGTCCTTGGAAGTGCACTGTTCCCTAGTCAAGCTTTCAGATGAGACCTTAGCATAACTACTACCTTGATGCAGCCCCATGAGACACCTTGAAACAGAGAGCCCAGCTAAGCCACAACTGGATGCCTAACTTACAAAAACTGTGAGATAATATGTAGCTTTAAGCTACTGAGTAGCTAGGAATGGATAACTCATAGAGTGGCTCAAAAGATTAGAAACTGGGCTAATGGGTAGAAAGTCAACAGACCAATTGCAGTTAATAAAGGGAAAAAAATTAAGGTCAGAGCTCTCCAACCTTGAAATGGGAAGTGGGCTACCTTTAGCTGAAGTTGCCTTTAACTTAAGGTATTCAAGCAGATGCTGGCTCCTGGCTCACAGAAAAGAGAATTTGTGCCACTGAAGAGGTTATATATGTGACCTTTCAAGTCCTCTCAAAACCCAGGATTCCATAATTGCAGCTTCACGACAGATGGTCAGGTTTTATGTCTATTTTGGGGAGTGAGATGTTGGCTTTTCTCTTAGAAGTCTCAGGGGTGTTTGCCTTTGCACAGTAATGACACCAAAATGGAGAAAAAGAGATGATGCCTGATCTCCAAGACTCCAGGGCATCACCCCATGGTGAGTCGATACCCAGTGCCAGTGTAGGGGTTGTGAGGAGAGACCCTGGCTGTGGACTAAGGTCAGCCCAGTTCCCTCTAAGTCATGCTCCCAAGGAGACATGCTATACACTCCTGGGTGTGGCTTCCAGTGCAGACATTACCATGGCAACAAGACAGTACTGTACACATCAGTTCAGTTCAGTTCAGTCGCTCGGTCGTGTCCGACTCTTTGCGAGCCCATTAATCTCAGCACACCAGGCCTCCCTGTCTATCACCAACGCCCGGAGTTTACCCAAACTCATGTCCATCGAGTTGGTGATGCCATCCAACCATCTCATCCTCTGTCGTCCCCTTCTCTCCTGCCCCCAATCCCCCCTAGCACTAGGGTCTTATCCAATGAGTCAACTCTTCCCATGAGGTGGCCAAAGTACTGGACTTTCAGCTTCAGCATCAGTCCTTCCAATGAACACCCAGGACTGATCTCCTTTAGGATGGACTGGTTGGATCTCCTTGCGGTCCAAGGGACTCTTAAGAGTCTTTTCCAACACCATAGTTCAAAAGCATCAATTTTTCGGCACTCAGCTTTCCTCACAGCGCAACTCTCACATCCATACATGACCACTGGAAAAACCATAGCCTTGACTAGATGGACCTTTGTTGGCAAAGTAACGTCTCTGCTTTTTAATATGCTACCTAGGTTGGTCATAACTTTCCTTCCAAGGAGTAAGCGTCTTTTAATTTCATGACTGCAATCACCATCTGCAGTGATTTTGGAGCCCAAAAAAATAAAGTCTGACACTGTTCCACTGTCTCCCCATCTATTTCCCATGAAGTGATGGGACCAGATGCCATGATCTTAGTTTTCTGAATGTTAAACTTTAAGCCAACTTTTTCACTCTCCTCTTTCACTTTCATCGAGAGGCTTTTTAGTTCCTCTTCACTTTCTGTCATATGGGTGGCATTGTCTGCATATCTGAGATTATTGATATTTCTCCTGGCAGTCTTGATTCCAGCTTGTGCTTCTTCCAGCCCAGTGTTTCTCATGATGTACTCTGCATATAAGTTAAATAAGCAGGGTGACAACATACAGCCTTGATGTACTCCTTTTCCTATTTGGAACCAGTCTGTTGTTCAATGTCCAGTTCTAACTGTTGCTTCCTGACCTGCGTATAGGTTTCTCAAGAGGCAGGTCAGGTGGTCTGGTATTCCCATCTCTTTCAGAATTTTCCACAGCTTATTGTGATCCACACAGTCAAAGGCTTTGGCAAAGTGAATAAAGCAGAAATAGATGTTGTTCTGGAACTCTCTTTCTCGATGATCCAACGGATGTTGGCGATTTGACCTCTGCCTTTTGTAAAACCAGCTTGAACATCTGGAAGTTCACGGTTCACCTATTGCTGAAGCCTGGCTTGGAGAATTTTGAGCATTACTTTACTAGCATGTGAGATGAGTGCAATTGTTGCAGTAGTTTGAGCATTCTTTGGCATTATCTTTCTTAGGGATTGGAATGAAAACTGACCTTTTCCAGTCCTGTGGCCATTGCTGAGTTTTCCAAATTTGCTGGCATATTGAGTGCAGCATTTTCACAGCATTATCTTTCCGGATTTGAAATAGCTCAATTGGAATTCCATCACATCCACTAGCTTTGTTCATAGTGATGCTTTCTAGGGCCCACTTGACTTCACATTCCAGGATATCTGGCTCTAGGTGAGTGATCACACCATCGTGGTTATCTGGGTCGTGAAGATCTTTTTTGTACAGTTCTTCTGTGTATTCTTGCCACCTCTTCTTAATATCTTCTGCTTCTGTTAGGTCCATACCATTCTGTCCTTTATCGAACCCATCTTTGCATGAAATGTTCCCTTGATATCTCCAATTTTCTTGAAGAGATCTCTAGTCTTTCCCATTCTGTTGTTTTCCTCTATTTCTTTGCATTGATCTCTGAGGAAGGCTTTCTTATCTCTCCTGGCTATTCTTTGGAACTCTGCATTCAAATGGGAATATCTTTCCTTTTCTCCTTTGCTTTTCTCTTCTCTTCTTTTCACAGCTATTTGTAAGGCCTCCTCAGACAACCATCTTGCCTTTTTGCATTTCTTTTCCATGGAAATGGTCTTGATCCCTGTCTCCTGTACAATGTCACGAACCTCCATCCATAGTTCATCAGGCTCTCTGTCTATCAGATCTAGTCCCTTAAATCTATTTCTCACTTCCACTGTATATTCATAAGGGATTTGATTTAGGTCATACCTGAATGGTCTAGTGGTTTTCCCTACTTTCTTCAGTTTAAATCTGAATTTGGCAATAAGGAGTTCATGATCTGAGCCACAGTCAGCTCCTGGTCTTGTTTTTGCTGACTGTATAGAGCTTCTTCATCTTTGGCTGCAAAGAATATAATCAATCTGATTTCGGTGTTGACCATCTGGTGATGTCCATGTGTAGAGTCTTGTGTTGTTGGAAGAGGGTGTTTGCTGTGACCAGTGCATTCTCTTGGCAAAACTCTATGAGCCTTTGCCCTGTTTCATTCTGTACTCCAAGGCCAAATGTGCCTGTTACTCCAGGTGTTTCTTGACTTCCTACTTTGCACATAGTTTGTAACAAATACTTTTAGAATGAAAACAAACAAAAACACCCAGAGGGGTGGCTTCCTGAGAGACTAGGACCCGAGAGGGAAGTGAAAACAAAAAAGCTCAGGAGGAGGGCAGTCACTGCCTGGGCTCAGGCTGCCCACCCGGGCCTCCCCTCTCACTGCAAAACAGAGCCTGGGAGAGGCATGGGTCTGCCTGGCCACCACCGGCAGGCACGGGCCACGGCGGGAGTGGGCCCTCAGGCAGTGCACCGGCAGTCACATGACCGCCCCTTGGCCTTGCAGCACTGTGACTCTGCCCAGAGACCCCCAGCTTCTTCCATCAGCCAGAGCTGAGTTGGGGAGCCTGTGTTTACATGAACAGCCTCTGCCCCTGCCCAGGGAACTGCCTTCTCAGCATGACTGTGTGAGGGACACTGGACCACTGCTGCCTCACATTGCTCACGTGTTGAGCACCAATGGTGTGCCAAGCTTTGTGCTGGATGTTGTGGCTTCAGAGCTGAAAGTTACCTTACTTGCCCTCATGGCATTTGCTGTCTATTGGGGTTATGGTGAGTCAGCAGTGTTGTGCAGAAGATAACTTCTGTGTTACAGGAAACTTCAGACCACTATCAGCTTAAAAGAAGCAGCAGCTACTTCTAGGAAAATTGCTGTTGTTCAGGCGCTCAGTTGTGTCCAACTCTTTGTGACCCCATGAGCTGCAGCACTCTAGGCTTCCTTGTCCTTCACTATATCTCTCACAGTTTGCTCAAATTTATGTCCATTGAGTCAGTGATGCCATCCAACCATCTCATCCTCTGTTATCCCCTTCTCCTTCTTCTAGGACAGACTCAATTGAGTCCACGATGACTACATTGCCTTAAAGTCATTCACTCATTCAGCAGCATTTATTTGGGCACCTGTACATGCCAGGCATGGTCCTGAATTTTGGGAATATAAAGAAAAATCAGAAAACAGAGAGGATTATTACTCTGGCAAAAAAATGTGAGGGAAGCATTCTAGATAAGGAAACAGCACATGGGGAAGATACGGAAAATAGAGCATCACCTTCTCTGCTCCCCAAGACAACCACAGGGCTTGGTGTGAGACCACCATTCCTTGATGCCACCCATATCAGAAATACTCACCCTTCACATTGGACCCCTGAAAACTCAGCCCAGGGTTCATCTCCTCCAGAATAACATCCTGGCTTTCTGCTCTGCTTTAGATGTTCCCACAGCACCCAGACTGAATTCTAGGCCAGCTCTGACCTGCCTGAGGGCAGCGACCATGTCTTAGCTGACTCCGTGTGCCACAGATAAATATTTATTGAAAGAATGAGTAACTGGGTGAGTGAATGAATCAGAGGAGAAGAGAATGAGATGACTATTCCAGCAGGCATGCTAAAAATGTAGGTAATCAGATTGCTTTGATTAAAAAGATCTGGGATATTGTTTTAACAATATAATTTATATTTTTTATTTATATTATTTATTATATATTTTATTTATATTATTTGTTGAATAATTTTATATAATTTATTACTTTATTTTATATAATATAATTTATGTTATTTATATATTTATAATATATAAATTTATATTTATATAATTTATATATTTATTTTCAAATTTATATCATTGAAATATAGTTCATTTACAGTGTGTTAATATCTAAAACACCTGATAAAAATCTATTGAAAACACTCATCTCTCTACCCAGCAGAAGTTTTTTGTTTAACATTATGCATATGGAGTAGATAATTTTTAAAAGGTAGGTGCTATTTAATGATCACTTCACACCGGATGAAACGCTAAGCACACTTAAACTTCTACTGTAGCCATCAAAACTGGACACTTTGTAACTTAGAAGGGGCGTTGGGGACCTCATCCGCGTACAGTTTGACAATGGTAGGGTTTTGTTCAAACTCCAGGGACAAGACTGTAGAACTTTACCTTGAATTTTTTTCTTTTTACAGTTTAAGATGCAATGAAACCTTAGAAAGTAGAGTATAAGCAGCCTCTCTTGATAAAGCCTGTATTTTATCTTATGAATATAGCCTATTCATTGCTATGGCTTGAATGTTTGTGTCCCACTCCAGTTCATATGTTGAAACCCTAATGCCCAGTGAGATGGTATTAGGAGGTGGGACCTTTGGGAGGTTAATGCTTGGGGCATGAACATGGAGCCCTCGAGAACAGGATTTGTGATCTTATGCAAGAGACCCCAGAGGGCTCCCTCGCCCCTTCTTCCCTGGGAGGATCCAATAAGAAGTCTGCAACCTGAAAGAGGACCCTCATCAGAGACTTTGGGCTCCTTGACCTTGTTCCAGCCTCCAGAACTGTGAGAAATAAAGGCTTGTCATTTATAAGCCACTCTTTTTATGGCATTTTTATAGCCTGAACAGACTAAAATATTCAATAAGATTTCACACTCTGGGCCAAAAACCAGGCAACTAAGATGGCAGAGAGAATATTTAAAATCCTAATTCCAGCAGTTTGGGGGTGGGAAAAATGCCCAGACTCTTTGGGAACAACCCATATCCCTGATGACTCATTGGTAAAGAATCTGCCTACCAATGCAGGAGATGCAGGAGACTCAAGTTTGATCCCTGGGTTGGAAAGATCTCCTGGAGGAGGAAATGGCAACCCACTCCAGTAACCTTGCCTAGAAAATCCCATTGACAGAGGAGCGTGGCAGGCTACAGTCCATAGGGTCCCAAGGAGTCAAACAACTGAAGCAACTGAAGCAACATACAAAGAACCAGTGATCTAATAAGAGCCTTTTTCTCCTTTTCCAGAAAAGTCTCGAAGTGTCTTGTTGGCCTAGTGTACTAAGTAAAGGAAAGCCCACTAAGTAATTTAGAAATATTTTCCCATATAAACTGTTCAGTAAGTCAGCTGGATCTTAGCAGAAATCACAGTTCAGAGCTGACAGCAATTGTGCAGATAGATCATCAAGCCTAATTGGTTCCTACAGTTGAAGTTTTAACTGTGGTTTCAATGATCCAACATTTATAAAACCCATTTACTTTCTTCCGTGACCTCATGCTCTGCTTCATTATGCATTTGAAAGTTTCCATATCCAGCAGCTGTCTTCCTCTCTTCTCATACTCCTAGGAGGGAAAAAGAATAATTAGCTAGGAACAAGTTGCATTTTGTTTAGTCTGGGAGCAAGAGTCCAAAGAATGGAATGTCTAATTGGACCTACCTTGAACTCTGTCAATTTCTAACATGGTATCCCTTTTGTTCACTTCTCTGATGCATTCACAATTTGTTTCTAATTCCATTAAGAAGTGACAATTACAGAAAATTTATTCTTTGATACTATTTTATAGGAATTAAAAGGATTGTACTTTTCACTGAAAAATCAACCATCAAAAAAAGAATCAGAAAGCTCACCTGCTCAGTTCCTACCTGAAAGAGTGCATTTAAGTGCTGTAGCTCTTCAAGAGTCACTTGATGTTAGATCTCATCAAAACAAAAAGAAAATAAATTAAAAACATATAATGCTGATAGGAAGGCCCATAAAATGCAATTTCTGGAAACCCGTGGTTCCTCTCTCTATGGGAGGCCAATAACTGAGCCTGTGAGTAACACTTAGGCTATTCCAACCTTCATTGTTTCAGTCTCGACTCCCATTCAGCTGACTCCTCAGCCCCCAGCTCTGGGGCAGGCTTGGCTCAACTGGGCCGGAAGGAAGAGGTGGCAAGGTGGTGGAAGGAAAGAAGACCACAGGCATTGACTTGGGGGAGAAAAGATCAGGAACTGGACTGATGCCAGAAAAGAAAGACTGAAAATATTTTGCCAGATCACATTCCAAAGATGCTCTTTTCCCTCTCGGGAGTCCAATGCATTAGAACTGCTTTGTGTCACATCCTCTGCGCCCCGGTCCATCTCATCTAGGCTGAACCAGGAGGAGACCCTGGGGGAACTGATCTCTGGCCCCTTTTTCTGGGGTAAATTCTCTGAAGCTATTGCCAGAGACTCTTGGTACTCCTGGTGTTAGGGAATTTCATTAACCTTCAGTAGGCCATCCTTAGGTCAATAAACAGACTCCCAGAGAATGCCTCTACCTCACCCTCCAGTCTTATAACGATTATCTCAACAGTTTGGCTGGGGCTTTCCTGGTGGCTAAGACAGAAAAGAACCTGCCTGCAATGCAGGAGACCTGGGTTTGATCTCTGGATTGGGAAGATCCCCTGGAGAAGGGAATGGAAACCCACTCCAATATTTTGCCTGGAGAAATCCACGGAGAGAGGAGCCTGGTGGGCTACAGTCCATAGGTTCACAGAGTTTGGCCTTTATAAATAAAAATCCTTAAACTTCTGGCTTATAAAGAATGAATAAATTGTCATTGTGGGTAGAGCCAAACTAAGCTCTGATGTTCTTGTACTGTCTCACGAGGCCAGAGGAAGATAGCAAAGCAGAAAATCAGCATTTCCTTGATAGGATCATCTTCTGAAATCTCTATGATCACCTCAAGCTTCCAGGGTGGTGGCCTTTAGCATAAAACTCAGGCTGACACCAAAGCTACAGGAGATCCACCATCCTGTAAAATTGAGGCGCCTGCCAAATTCTGTCTTAAATGACTCAATAATTACCTTTTAACTTGCTTTCACTGAGGAACAAAATTGGAAACCCAGCTCTAGAATGGGAAAACACTCCAGCTGTAGTTTCCACTTAAAATTTCCCTGTAAGGCTCTTCTGTCAAGACTGGAACCTGGGAGGTAATGTTTAAAAAAACTGACCAAGAGAAAGACCCTAACAGTATTCAAATACATGTAAAGGATGATTCCATCAAACTGAAGGGCTCTTTCTCCTCCCCAATAAAAGATATTACCCTGAATTAATTCATCACTTGCTTAGACTAAGCCTTCTCCAGCATCCACAAAAGCAGTGAGAGGGTACCAGGTTCACACACAAGGCCAAACAAGAAGATAGTGCCCTCGAAGAGCATGTGACTTCTAATCATCCACCCCAGATGGGACTTCCAGGGGGTGAAACAATTTTTTTAAATGTGTTTACCTTTAATTGGAGGATAATTGCTTTACAATATTGTGGTGGTTTCAGCCATATATCTACTTGAACCAGCCATAGGTATATATATATATCCCCTCTCTCTTGAACTTCCCTCCCACCTCCCACCCCATCTTACCTATCTAGGTTGTTACAGAGCACTGGATATGAGCTCCCTGCATCATACAGCAATTTCCACTGGCTGTGTAATTTTACATATGGTAATGTATATGTTTCAGGGCTACTCTCTCAATTCATCCCATCCTCTCCTTCCCTGCCTGTGCCAAGTCTGTTTTCTATGTCTGCATCGCCGTTGCTGCCCGGCAGATAAGATTCATCAGTACCATCTTTCCAGATTCCATATATATGCATTAATATACAATATTAGCCTTTCTCTTTCTGACTTCCTTCACTCTGCATCATAGGCTCTAGGTTCATCTACCTCACTAGCACTAACTCAAATATGTTCCTTTTTATGGCTGAGTAATATTCCCTTGTATATATATACCACAGCTTATTTATACATTCATCTGTTGATAGACATCTAGGTTGCTTCTATGTCCTAGCTATTGAAAATAGTGCTGTGATGAACATTGGGGTATATGTGCCTTTTGCATGAAAGAATTTTTAAAGATTTGAAAATTATTCTGCATAAGGTTGGAATATTATGGGAAAAACATGAGATTATTTAAAATTTTCATATTGAATTCTCTAAGCCATTACAATTGTATTTAAGATACAATATACTTTATGAGTCTATATGTTACATAAGACATTTATTCTCAAATTTATAATCCTAAAAACATATTCCTAGAAAGTGGTAGCTCTAGATTTGTACACAGCAATCAAAACATATTGCAGATATGTTATCCTTACTGCATAACTTCTATCTTTCTAGTGCTCCTGAATATTTTTTCTCCCGAGATTCAAAATTTCCTGAAATCTATACCATAATCATGATCTGTCCACTAACCACTTTATTATGTGAAATTGGCCTTTCATCTTTTTCTGCCTCCATTACTGAAAAAGAACAAATTACAAAAAATTGCCTCCTTCCCAGGAGGGGCTCCCCAATCCAGAGAGAGACTAATTCATCTTCTCATCTTAAATTTACTAGAAATGCTTCTGAGAAAACAAAGTGAATGCCATCATTAGTAATAGTAATGAAGGGTATGAAATCAAAGCTGGTGATTATATAATTTATAAAAGGTTTTACAGCAATTTTCAATTAAGTATAAAATGTGACTGAAAAGCCTTGCTTTCCCCCTTCATAACTTCTCCCCAGAGCCATCCCTCCATCTCCCCAAAATGTCCTACTCACCCTGCCTCCTACTTACTCTCCTGACACACCTACAGCCTCTGGTAACTTCCAAGGCTTGCTCTTTGTTATCCTGGTCATTCCATTCCATCTTTGCTTCCTGGTCACAAATACACATGCTTCCTGCCTCCCTTCTCCCACTGTCCACAAAAATAAGGAAGTGAATGAACACTCTAACCACAGAAGATTTTTCAGGGTGGCAGTACCAAATGATGTTCACTGAATTTCCATTGCATTTAAGAAGTCAGTTCTTAAATCTCACAGACCTCATCAAATTTTCATACGTCATGACCGAGAGCAAAGACCCAGTGATCATTAGCCAACTTCTTTTGAAAAGGCAGCAATAGAAATACAGCTACAAAACAGAGCCATTATTGTGTTTTTCCTTGAAAATATAAATCAGGCCTTCACTTAATTGCATGTTTTTAAGGCAGATTTGGAACACAAAGCAGAGAAAACATATGTCCCTTCTGGGTACTCCTGTGCTTGGCAGGGCTTGAAAATTTGTAACTGCCATTGACAGCCAGTCACATTGTATCACTAAAAAGCTTGAATGACTTGTTTTCCTACAAATAAAAACAGAGAAAAGCCGGACTATTTTATTTCCAAACTATCATAGCTATAGTGACGACCATAAATAACTCAGTCCATAATTGTGTAGTCTAGTTTTAAACATATTATCTATTGCCCAGCAATGCATTTTGGTGTATACATATGCAATTTCAGAGAGAGCTACCTGGATAATTCTCTAAGATCCTGTATTGGGGAGGATTCATGGAGCTCTGATTCTGCTTGTCCTTACACTGCAGTCTCCCCAAAGCAAGCAGTTTTTATGATAAGAGTGGCTTTCCCATAAGGATTCATTTGCCTGCTGGTTCCTCATTTGCAATGCAAATCAGCACTCCTATTGTTCCACCCCAGCAGCTCATTGCTTCTCACTGTAGAGTCTCCTCAGTCTGGATGGTTTAGGGGTAATTTCACTTCTACGACAAGGGAATTGATTAATTAATCGAATAAAGTATCCTTTTGAAAATCTGTTCCTTGAGTTGTTGTCTCTATAGCTTCAGAAAACAGACAGTTACAATCCTGTAGTCTTAAGATTCTAAAGGAGATGGTAATTGCAGAAGATTTGAGGAGTTTTCCAGGTTGAAATTTAGGGGCTCCCATGGTAGAAGGTCCTAAGGAAGAGGAAACAGCGGGGCTATAGGGCATTCTCCAGGGAGCCTACTTTGTGAATGAAGTCTTTTTCTTGTGTGACACAAGATCATAACCATGGGAAGAAGAGTTAAAAAAAAAGGCCTGTGTGATTCTGCCAGAAACTTTAAAATCCACAATAAACTGAGGCTTAAAAAAAAAAAACTGTCTTTTTAGCCATTTAAGGAGCAGGAAATCAATCCTGAATATTCATTGGAAGGACTGATGAAGCCGGAGCTTCAATATTTTGGCCACCTGATGTGAAGAGCCAACTCACTGGAACAGATCCTGATGCTGGGAAAGATTGAGGGCAGGAGGAGAAGGAGGTGACAGGATGAGCTGGTTGGACAGCATCACTCCATTCAGTGGACAAGAGTCAGAGCAAACTCCAGGAGAGAGCAGGGGACAGGGAAGCCTGGCTTGCTGCCGTCCATGAGGTCTCAGAGTTGAACATGGCTGAACAACTGAACAACTACAAAAAGGAGCAGGAAGATTAGAAAGTGGCGTCCACTTTAATTAATGTAGCCTTAGGCAGCACTGCCACTAACATCT